TAAATTTAATACATTGAGAAAATAATAGAAAGATAACCATAAAAACAGATTCAAGAAAGTATAAGTCGACTATAGACGGTCTCGCTTTTGACATCCGACAAATTATATGGAAAATTAAAAACCAAAAATACCCGGAAATTCGAAATCATATATAATATACGAGTACTGTTGTCTGTGGACGGCTTTCATTTGAGCAAATGGTCCAAAATTACATATTATTTGGGTGAGCTTTAATATATATGTGAAACTTAAATAGACTAATACGTTTTCCTTCCCATTTTTAAAGACTTAAGACTCTCAGTTAACTCTAACTAGTATCGTTGAAATTGTTGAAAATATAATATATTTTCATATACCTAATTTATCATAATATTATAATAAAAATCTTAGCTACATTTTTTTATTAGTATAGTATCTCATACCCTTTGTTTAATATAATCGATTATTGTTAATTTTCCGGTTTAATATTCTTCCCACGATTTTAATGTATATTCTTGTTTTTCTTTTGTATTATTACGTAATATATTGATTTTTTTTGTTTGTTTGTTTATTGATAAAATTAATTTTTAGTAAGGTTTCTGTTTGAATTTCTTTTAAAATATTAATTACTTGATATATATTAGGATAAAATTGTGAGTTATAATAACTATGGAATGATTCAGTCCTATTAAATAATACAAGGTTTGTCTGTTAGTTATTTTGTCAATAACGAAGAGGGGAATTTGGCGTCTTCTATAGTACAGTTATTTAAAAAATAGTCTGAAAAATCAGAAATATCGATCGGACGAATTTGATCTGATGGTAAAAGTGGTAAACCAAATAAATATTTCATTCAATCACCAATTTCTAAGTTATATATTTTACAAGCAATGTTTAAGTAAAACAATATTTTGCTGAATTGTCTTAAACTAACTTTGTGCAAGATGGAAGACACAGCAAATTATTTAGCATGTTAGAAAACATTAAAGTGCTGATTTATAAGCAACAATTTCAAAATTTGATTACAATTTTGTAATATTTAATTATTTTAATTTAGTATTGACGAAAGTATTATATAAATTAATAATTTCATACCACATCAATTCGTATTGTTGAGTAGTTTTATATATAAATTATTTGTCAACACTTTAAAATAGTTATCACCCATCAGTTGAAACTATATAATAATTTGTAATTATAGTAAATATTATAAAAGTTGTTGTATAAGTTATAGGTATGTTACTTCCCTATTATTCAGTAATTTATAATTTCGCCTAAACGATTAGTTAATTTTTATGCTCTACTCAGTTAAATTTTGGGTCATTCGCTCAAATGAAAGACGCTTGTACTATATATTCTGTAGAAAAATTAAACTTTTTTATATTTTAACCCAAAGTTCAAAGTACCAAAATAGGCCCTAATAATATAATAATTACACGAATAAAAAAATCTAGAAAGATACTCTACACTTATATAGGAATTCCAATAAATCGCACAGTGGTGATGTAATAATACAACTCAAGAAGACAAGAACATGCAATCGTTAATCAAGTCAATAAACAAAATAATATTATCAACGTTATCATCAATACGAGGTAGGCTGTTATAGGAACAAAATATTTCATTGATATTATTTAATTTGGCACCATAGATATTGTAGTAAGAAGTGTCAAAGGAGCCATAAGTGAGAACAGCAAAGTGTTCAATTGAGTGAGTGTATATTATATATTATTAATTCGTAAATTGAAATGATTTAATAATAATCGGAACTCCGCAAGAAATATAATTACAGAAGTAATGATGGAGAAAAATCAACATTCGCACAATTATTACAATGGAAGATATTTTATACTCTATCATATTGATTATTGATGAGCAGAGAGCGAGGGAATTCTCTAATTTAATGGTCGGAAACTGCATAATGAGCTAGTACTTCAAATGTCATGATATAACTTTAGATAATCAGAATAATACAAATTCCTATGTATCAACAAAATGTTTTATGAAGTATTTTAATCGAAACTTAAATATATTTATAGCATTTCAAACCTAAACTACAGTAAAATAAATAAACCAAAAAGTATAAAATGTAATATTTAATGTAAGATCAATCCTGTAGTTTATCATGCATGAATCTGACTTCTAAGTAGAAGACACAGTTGAAAGCAAACTAGAATGACTAATCAAAAAAAAAAATTTTGAATAGATGAGTAATTAGTTTTATTTTTTAGATACAAATAAAATAGTTTTTATATTTCAATTCTTGACTGACAAGTCTACAAAGCTAGCATATATAGTTACAAAGAAAAGAAATCAAAATTAAAGGTTTATGAAAGATAGATCTAAAAAACTATATAATATACCATATATCTATGCCGAACAATAACTAACTAGACATAAACTTAAAATAAATCTGCTTAATTATAGATAGTATGCATTTATACTTGTACTATAACTATAACATTGAGCCATGATAACACAAATTTAATTTAATCTAAATATTCTTTTTTTAAATTATTTAGTGAATTCAAAACATGAAATTTTTAACTTATAAGTAAATTATGAATGTGCCATAAGTGCTGATGATATCATTGTAAAGAAGGATTAACTGTAGTTGGATAATTACCAAAATAAGTTATGTATGGTACCAGGTCCCTGGTGTTTGTTTGAAGCTCTCGTAAAAGATTTACGGATTTTTTAATTTAACAAAATTAGACCACATCCATCAAAATGCTAATGTCATCACATTTTTAAAATGTTTACAAGACATATTTCTAAAAATGTTTTGTCTTGCTTGATGTCATCGTATATATTAATACATAATATGTCAGACTTTTCTTTTTAAAAGTTTACACGTGTACGTATTTGTTTTTGGACTGCCTACCTTTTTCAAGTTAAAAAATAAAATATTTATTATATTCGATGACAATTGGTTTGTAGAAAATATTCACAACCGAATTCAATAAGCTCTTTCTCGCAATTTTACGAATTCCTACGTCATTTCTTTTTTCAGAATTCTTCTTTTTAAAGAATGTATTGTGAAAGTTAACTAAAAAAATCATCAATCCTCAGTCTTTTGCTATTTTTAAATTATTGTTCAAAGCAAATACAATATTGATTTTTGTAAATATGTTGTTAAAAAAAATTATTTCAGTTGATGAAAATTACTGAAGTTGAGTTTAAAAATCAACAATTATTTTTCACTGTCTATCCTATGTTAACAAATATACTTTTTATTTAAATTCATAGTTTGTACATTAATTATAATTATACAATATGTAATGTATGTGATAGGTACAAAGTATACGTAACCTAGTGAAAAGAAACCGTCAGTTTACGAAACGTCTAAAGTTAGTTTGCATAATAATTAATAACATAAGTTATATTTTAGAATATAAGAAGTGCACCAATGTATTTTCAAACAGCTAGGTTTGCATAATTTTAAAATCAATTTTTGAATCTTTGTAACTATATTTAAAAATAATCTCATTTAAAACATTCTGATTAATAAACATAATGATATTATCACGTACCTATTATAAAATAAATAGAACAATAATATCATGTAATAGGTACCATAATACGAAATTATTGATATTCTGATAATTATCAACAATTTGTTTAGGTAACATACAATAAAGCATACAAGCCTAAATGGGTTACACATTAGTTTAGTGAAGTATAAAAATATAATTGTTTATTCTTTTATATTTATACACGCTTTTTAAAAATGTTTTCATTTTCTTTGTACACACATAAATCGTAACATCCTAATAATCTATGAATACATTATACAGTGTTTCCTTTTAAAATTAATACGAAATATTCAGTTCAATAACCTCAGATTACTATAAGGTTTCCGGAAGAAGATATAGAGTACAGAAATGTACATTTTTTGATGATTTTCAAATGTTTTGTTTTTTAAGTGTGCGCATGTACAATACAACTAGCATTCATTTAAATAGCAACAGGTATTTTCATTATCAAACTCAGATAGAATTTAGACCTGAAATTTTAGATAAAATATATTGAACTTTCTAAGTTATTTTAACCTATTAACCATGGCTCGGCTCTAATAGCAAAATTTATAGAATTACAACAAACTAATTTTTATTTAAATCATTGAGTGAAAAATAATAAATGAAATCTAACGGATATTAATTATAAAATCATTGAATTCTTAAACATTATAATTTAAGCTAAAACATCAGCTGATTGTCGCTCAATTTTAGTGTTAGAGCCATAAAATTGACATGACTTAAAAAAATTCGATATCCTAATTTTATATTGAAAATACAAATAAATTCAAGATGTATGGCCCATACACTCACTTAACTTTACAAATTTTAAAATCATTAAAAATGCGTATTTCTGTATTTTCTATCTCCTCTCGGAAACCATATATCAATCCGTAGTCATTGGACAGAAATATTTCATGTTACCTTTAAAAAAAAATACACTATATGTCAATATAGTGTTGTATTTATCACTTATATTTATAATAATTTTATTATTAACTACATAAAGTGTATATTTCCATAACTCTGTAAATAAGTAAAAATATAAATATGTGAATATTATTTTATCAATCATACCTAGTTAAAAAAACCTGTATCAATGTTTATTGAATTTCGAAGCGTCTCAACTTTAAAAAAAAGTTATTAAAAACATATTATTAATATTTTATCTATACAACTATATCTAAGTACTTTCAGAGTTATATAAAAAAACTACCCCCTTTTGTCATATTCAACCCCGATGTGGCACCAAAAGAGGTCGAGAGAAACCTCCCAAATTTTGCCAAAATTACTCACTCATGTAACTGAACAAATTTAAGTGGTACTGTCTAAAACAAATTATATTGAAAAAATAAGGACTACCCTATATATATATACATTTTTTTTTTATTATTATTTAAATATGACAATATATTAAATCTCCTAACAAATGACAAGTGAGATATAGATAATACTAATGTATAAAATATAATTTATTAATATAAAGTTAAACATTATGCTTTTATTTATATATAAGTGTATAGTATTATATATCTACGGTGGATACAGTGTAAACATTCATTGGAAAATAAAAATTTAATCATTGTTACTTTAACAGTCATGAACAAAATCACAAATACAATAATTAAAATACGATTAAATATTAGATATATATTAAACGACGTTATAATTATGAATTATTTTTTGTACAATGAAGTCATGTTTAATAAAACGCGAATTACTTTTTACTCACGATACTAAATATTTACGGCGATCGAAAACATTTTTCACGTATTCGATTATTCTTTGTACCTTTGACACCTAGACCGGACACTTCTAATACCTTTCCCGTCATCGGATACTCGTGGAATTTCTCTGGCGTCACACCACGACTGATTGTCGTAACGTATAGTTTATCCAACTGTGGTCCACCAAACGTAACAGATGAAACCTTTTCGGCGGGAATCTTTAACTTGCCCAACAACTTTCCATTAGTTCCACTCACATGCAGTACCTAAAAATGTATTACGATTTGTAATAATATAATTTTAACACCAAAAAAATCAGAAATTTACCTGAGCACCATTGTAGTTAGCGATCCAGAGATCACCGTTTGCGTCGATCGTCATACCGTCAGGGACGCCCGGTATGTCGTCTGTCTTGAAATCGTAGAATGTTTTCCGGTTCGCTGTTGAGAAATTGAAATAAATCGTGTTTGTCAGACATTATTTTTCGACGAAAATATGTAGTAATATTAATGCAAAATAAATTATTACATATAGAAGCTTTAACAGGATTGTAGTCAAAAACCGCTATTTGCTTGGTCGGCGAATCTATGTAATACATCCTTGTACTGTCGCCGTTCCACGCCAGCCCGTTGGAAACAGAAACGCCAGGTAAGACGGATTCCAGGCTTTTAAAACAGCTGGTGTCGTTTAGCTTATATAAAGTTCCACGTCCCGGAGGGATATTTCCAGCTGCGTCTTCGAATCCCATAGTACCTGACACAGTTTTTGTTTCGCATTATTTTACACTTAGAAAATGATACTGTATATAATAATAATAATACCGTGGAGTTACGATTGTTTTTAGATAAGTACGAACAATTTAGAAATAAAAATGGAATATTTAATTTAAAATTGTACACTCATTTCTGTTTAGTAAATTCAATACATCCCCTGCTTATTTAAGCACAATCATATAAAGATTATTATTATATTTACTTACCAGCCCACAAGTACCCGTTGGTATCTGCTTTTGCATCGTTCCATCGGTTGCCTGGTTTATTGTTATCAACGGTGATCAGACCAACGACTTTATTCGTTTTATCGTTGAGATTCCATCGGAGACTAGCCAACGTTGTACCCAATCCAATGACAAATAGACCTTGTTGTCCATGAACCGGGATCACAAAACTCACGTCATTGTCTAACGAGCATAAAGAAAATAAATCAAATATAAAATGAAATCTCCAAAAAATCTTTGTAATATAAACGCTAACCTAATTGAGCATATTCCAAATGGTTTTGGAAAAATCTATAAACGCGGTGTTGAGATATATCGACGAAATACAAGACGTTATTCTCGGAATCCCAAAATGGCCCTTCGCCGTGCACCATCACGTCGTCGGCCACTTCCTTGATCGACGCGCCGTTATAATTAACAGTGCCACATTTCACGGCCGCCATCAGACTGAAAAAAAATAAAATACAATTTTAACTGTTCGGTGAGTGCAGACAAGGAGTGAATGGTTTACTACCTTAGGAGCACAACATTACACTTGAGAATCGACATCGTGACTGAACCATTCCGACAGGTGTACAACTATGACATTATATATTCTCGTAGCATGGCTGCAATAATTAGTTAAGGAATAATAAATATTAATTACCTTGTGGTTTGTTAATGATTTGACGGTCTGTTGGAGAATATTTAAATTAACACGGTGACACTATAATACGCGCATCTTATCCGTTTCCACAAGGAACGAATTCCAAAAAAATTATATTCAGTTAATAACGTTGCGGGTTTAATTTGAACACTTTTTATCAGTCTGGAGTTACCTTGTTAACTATCAATAATATTTATGTTGATTAAGTATGGAAGCAATATAAGCGGAAATATATAAGTGCGCAGTTTATAAATCTAAAACAATTTAATTAATTAATATAAAACCATGAAGATTTCTAAAATCGTAACTGTAGACAGAATAAAATACAATTTTCAATACCTATATTCATTATATATCAAGTCAATTATGCACGATACCTTAATAAAAAAACATAAACAATATTACAAGGTAATAATACTTTTAAAATTAGATCATATATGAACAATTTATTTTCACAACTAAATATAGACTAGGTACCAGTTATGCTTACTTTATGTGAGAAATTGGACATTTTTTTTTTATATATAATTATAAATAACAATTAGGTGAAAATATTCATGAATCATTAAAAATTGCATATATTTTATATTTTAAATTCTGTATAATATTTAATTAAATTACTATTTGATATTTGTGAAATGTGAATGTGTCCTCGGTCCACAGTTACCCCCAGTCATACACATTCCATACTCCATAGTACGCAAAAAAATTGTATACATCGAAGACAATATAAATCAATTTCAAAATAATTAAATACCTAGATTAGATTTTTTCAAAAGAATGGCATTTAAACACCAGCCTATTTAGAAAAACTAAAAATAAATAATCATTTTTTCTTTTTTTTTAATAAAAAAAAATAATAATTTAAAATAATTAATACACTAATATCAAGAGTGTAAGCTAAATTAAAAGATATTATTATAAATAAGAATTAAAAAATATTTTTGGGGTGTAACTGTGTAAGCCAATTCAACTCCTCGTGGTGCATTCCGAATAACTCAAAATTAACTGGGACGTACTAGGGCAATGTCAATATAACCTTTTTTTTTCTTAAGACGCACTCGAGTAATTTACCTTATTTCGGACACCCTAAGAAAATTAAAAAAGGGTCATTTCGGGACGCGCTCGAAAAACTCCCCACAAAAATATACCACATAAAATACGAAAACAAACAAATTAATATTGAAATATACTAACCTATAAGCTATAATAAACATTTCTTAAAAAAAAAAAAAAACATTAAAATTTTAGAATCAATCAAAAATAATATTTTTGAAAAATAAATAAAGCGTGTTGTCTTAGCATTTAGGAAAATTTAGTTACGAGTTGTTTCAAAAGAATTGTGTTTTTTAGATGATTGAGTTTGTATTTTCCACTTGAATATTTCAACAAAATAAAATTATTACCAAGAAATACGTAATGTAAAATATCGAATTATTTATTTCATAAAAAACGCTATTGTTGATACGCTCTATACAGAAGTTTCTCCGATGTATATAAACGATAAAAGCGTGAAAACCATCAAAAGTATATAATAATTACCTTTAACAATGCATAAGTATTAATGCGAGATAGACAAAGTTTCCGTTTAATCTTCTTACTGTGGCGGAAAATAGATGACCTGTAATCCATTTCGTCACACACAAAGTGAAAAGAAAAAATACATTAAAACCTTTAACTGAAAGTAGAGCCAAGGACGAATCAAATCCATTAATAATAATAAATAAAAAATAGGTGTTGTAAACAGCCGCACATTATTGAATATAGTCTATACCCTATATCGATACAATAAGGCATAAGTTAAGAATCGTGCCAATAATTTGTATAAAAGTCCATCTACTATGAAAAATATACAGAGGATTACATAAATATTTTAACGATATCGGATATACGAAACGTATAAGGGTATAATTTTCTAAACAAGCAACGAAGTGCACAGGGACAGCTATAAATATATAAAAAGAACACCGCGTCGTCTACGAATGACGAGTATTAAATAACGAATTAGACAACTCTGAATCACATAAGAAGCGTCATTTTTTGTGCAACGAAGTACAGGGTACCTAGTGTACTACGTATAAAATTACATTTTGAAAGTTATTGCGTTATTATACATGTGTGTTTCTTATCAAGAGATCACTTACACTATGCCGAACGAAAAAAGTTCAAATCCCATCGAAAACGTGCAACGAATGGTAAAGCAAACATAATGAAGTTTGAATTATTAACATGTTGTCAATTTTTCAAACTTGAAAGTTTAAATATTTTAGTCTTAATTATTTTGCATAATAAATTCCGTCTTCCAAACTATAGTACAAATAATTAATGGAGACAAATTTTGTTGACATATCCACCCCGAAGATAATTTTCAATGATATTTATTTTTTATACTCTGTATTGATAGATGTGCAGAAATAAAAATGTATAATTTAGATACTGCACTGATACTGACATGTATTTCTTCTTATAATATTTCACGATGGATAATATTTACGGCTGCAATTTGTATTAAGTGATTTTAAAAATTGTTGTATTAGATATATCAATATGTAGGTTTATGGGTAAAAGATAATTATTAATATATTATAGGATATTTTATTACATATTAATGTTTTGCTAATACATAGCTATACATTTTTCTATCACCTATTAATACAGTAGGTTGAAATTATTTTCAATTAAAACAAATCGTATCTATTTTCTAATAATTATATCTAATATAATATTATGTACATTATCACTTATTAACAATTAATATAAGTAAATAAATAACGTAGAAATTTAAAATATATAAATAATATGTTCGTTGTAAAAATAACCTTAAATTAGTTTAAATATTTTAAAAGTCGTACTTATAGTAAACAATTAGAAAATATAATAGGGAAAAGTTTCAAGTCCCTATACAAAACATAATACTTTTTTAAATTATAATTTACAGTAAAATAACTAAAACCGTTGCCGGAAAAATCATTATTAGGTATATTTATTAAAATATTTATTTATTTAATAATAATAAACGCACATAGTGGACTTGGTACAGCTGATACAACAACATGCATAATAATTAAATTATAACCTATAGAACATATTAATTATGATAAGTTAAAATATATAGATAAATAAAAGTTTATAATAGTAAGTTATTTATTACAAGATTACAAATGTTAACCTGGTTGGCTTATCATTGAAAAAAACAAAGTTTTTTGATGAATTTCCTGTAGTTAACATTCTATCGACCGGAGTAAAAAATATATAGTTATTTTAGAAGTAAGTATTTATGTATAGTGTGTTTGAGTTACACAAATTTTAAAATAAAGGACATTGAAAGGTATTTAACTCAGTAGTTGTGGAAAGTAAATTTGAGAATTTAATAGTTAGTAGAGCCAAAGTACGTCATTAAATTAAACAAAAACTAATATAAATAATATTTTTATAATCAAATTTTCTTCACTTTTCGTGTGACTCAATATTACATTTTTCTACTAGTTTCTCGAGAGATGTATCAGTTTTGTTTATTTTATAAGCTATAGTACACGTAAAAGCCTGTTTTGAACACGTTCAATTTCATTTATTAGCTAGCTTGATAAGTAGGTATTTCAAATTACTAAGCCATATTCTAAAATAGAATAAACCAGAGAGAAATTTAACATTTCTGAGCAATCTGGGTTATTGAATCACTTACAGTTACAGTATATAAACATTATAAACCCAATTATACAGGTGCTTCATTACACATTATCAGGGCTCGAAAGTTGTAGCACTAAAAATGTTACTTTTTAGCTCTTGAATATGCACTTCATAATTCCAAAATATGCACTATAAATAACTCGAAAAATCAAAAAAATATGCATTTAACTTAAAAATTTGTAAATTTATTAGATAAAAAATTAAATGTAATTTTACAATTTTATAATTTACAGTAAAAGTAAAAAATGTCTTCAAAAATTCAAATATTTTTAAATATATAACCAAGTAAATCAATATTTTCAACAATATGCGAATATTTCATGTATGAAAATATTACCCAAAATAGCACTAAAAACATTAAATTAGAAAAATAGCAATAAAAACTGTAAATATGTAAAAAAAAAAAATAGCGAAATAAATTTCGTGTATGACATTAGAGAAGTGTAAAACATATTTGTATTTTACTTTGGACTTTGGATGTTCTAGAACGAACCAAAAAAAATATACATTTTGCTAAAACTTCCAAGCCCTGCATATTATAGTTGTATAATAAATATTTATAATTATAAATCGATTAACAAAAAAACTGTGCATAATATATATTTTTGATATTTTTATAAGCCGGTACAATAACAAAAACAATTTTTTCTATAAATTAAGTACAATTTATGAGAATTCTTATTATTATATTTTCTAACTTTTTGGCCAAGTATAAACTATTTTAAAAACTCTATTACTTGTTATAGGCTACGATAGTATATATAATATAATATGTAATATTACTAGAAGCATAATAATCCATTATAATTCATCATCATAATGGCAGTTGTTAAAATGTCGAGGTCGTTTAAATGTATTATTACAATTCCACAAATTGCCACTTAAGAACAGAAAACATCCTGGAGATTGTGGTTTTCAAATGTGAAAACAATTCCAAGAATTAATATGAATTAGAAGGTTGTCGACTACAACAACAAGAGACTTCTTTGTATATAAGGGAGTCCAGAGACCAACAGAGGCAGATGTACCAGAGCCACGAAGACCTGAGCAACTTCACGACACTCAGCTACTTTTTGTATCAGTTACATGTACTTCGTTTATACGTAATAAACACATTATTGTTCTTAAGAGTTGTAAATTTAATTTAAATAACACCCTGAGTCTAGATCTGATATTGGCACGCGACATAATTATAAACAGCTATTAAATGCATCTAAATATTTTTTAAATATTACTGTGCAATGAAAGAATTTTGAGTAAAATTATACTGTGTCAACTCGTAATTAATATTTCATTTATTACAAGAATCGTATGAAGATAAATTGTTATTTTACGTATAATTTCCAATGTCATAAAATTTGAATTTATATTAATATTTTATACTCATAGGATTAGTAAAGTGTATATAATTTCACGCTAATTTTTTTTTAAATATTGATAAAAAAAAAAAATTCTACCATACCAGAAATTCATTTTTCATTTTTATATTATAAAAAATAGCTATTCGGACAAAAAAAAAAATATTAAAAATTAAAAAAAAACACATCATTGTAAAATTAAATTGCTATATATACTAGCTGTATAGAATCTAATATTAAAACAACAAAGTGTAAAATATTAAAATTTTTATTTATTGTGTTTTGTTAAAATATGTTTATAAAATATCTATTACGCGTCAGGCGATTACTTACTTAAAACGTGAAAATAAACCATACGTACGTTCTACTTAGTACGCATTTATAGAATATATTTTTTTAATCGGCACAAATGCATCCAGATGGATGTTTATTAATCATTCGGGTAGTTTTTACATAAGTTCGTGGCCGATGATAACTATAATCGTAGTTCATACGAAATTAAATCATAAAATAAATCAGATTTTTAACCCATACAACAAATTAGTACTACCTATTAACATGCACAATTATTATATTAGAACATGACTTTTCCTCAAATATGTATAGATTCGCATTATGCATCAAAAATACGTTAGGTACGTGATATATGTTTTAAGTTATTATTCATTAAGAATAGTTTAGGTTTACAAAATGATATCTTTACGAACCTTTTATTATTTATGGGTTCAATTTATCACTCGAAACCACTCAGTTTACTCTTGCACTGGTCTATAAACACATTAAACTCGACTTTCACGATTTCTTTATCCTCTATATCATACAAATTTAGTTTACAAACGTTTTATTTAAAATAAATAATAATTAAAGGAAGAGAATCTACAACTGTCTCGCTATAAAGCAGCGCCCAAGAACATGGATTAGTAATTCAATTACGAAGGAAACTTAAGTGAATTTATATCTAAAAATGTAAACAACCTTTTGAGTATAAATCTAGTTACGAGCCAAATTGGATGACGTTTTACGTTCAAGCTATAGTTTAACCAGTTTAAGGTATTATAGTTAGTTTTTTCATGTCTTCTACAAAATAAAAATTAATTCAAAACAACATCGTGGGGCAATGGTTAGAACGGTCAGCCATGACGCGCAGTCATCGGTTCGAATCTTGGCGCAATGCAAATACTACTTTGTATTCCCCACCATCGTTCCAATTAGAACAATAAATTTAACCTAACCTAACCCTGCCATCGCCATGCCCACTTCACTGAGAGTAACGTCCACGCTAGCAGAAATTATATTTGTGGAGAAGTGAATAGTAATGCGCTGACCACAATCTACCCTCCCCCAATGATAAGGCATTAATAGAGACAGATAAAGTCGATTCAATAAAAAATAATACAAAAAAAGAAGATAAAATACACTTATACATACATCACATTTGGACTAGGCCACTGATACACCAAAGCAAGCCCCAATACTAGCCATTGAGGTTTTGATGGAATATACTTGTTTAACTTTGTAACACCATGTATATTTATTTAATTGACTCGGATATATTAAAACTGAATTGCAATAGCATACTAAGTCTATATCTACGAATCTACGGTATGCGAATGAAACTGAGCTGTTAGAAAAATACGTAAAGATAAATGTTAACAGTTAACACTACTGTTTCTACAACTCATGTCCCAAACTTATTTTTGATTTCACATCTAAACCAAAAACATTCAAGTATATCCTAGATATTTGTCAAATTTTTTTTTTGAAAATTTCAATATGGGAGCTAAAAAAACTATATTGTTAGCACTTAGTAACGCCGTTACGCGACATGGTAAAGACACAATTGACCATCAGGACAAGACATTTGTGAATAATTGATTTAGATCGATCCGAATGTGGAATTTAAATCACTGCAATAAGTTATTGATAATTTAATAAACTATGTACTATGTAATACCTGCATAGTATTTATATTTATTATAAAAATGTGTTAGAAGTATTAAATATGAGTACTGCTAGTAATGGTATATTTGAACATTTATTATTGTCGATATTTTTGGTTAATCTTAGACAGTTAAATCTTGTTAAAGATTAGTTATTTGATTATTATATACATTGAATAAATTTTTTTTTTGTTGCTTCATTGAATAATAAACAACAATACAACGATTCTCTTTGGCAAAAATTGGGTAAAAAAATATTTAATTATCATAAAATCTAATCCAGTAATATAACCATGTCATTGTCACGTACCTTTTCTGTGACGACTGACGAGGCAATAAAATAAAATATTTTCAGATTTTAGAGTGGAAAACAAAGTGTTAATATTTAAGCGATTATTGTGGTTCTTAAAAAATAACCACAAGAATTGAACCATCGTTTTAACTAAACACTAACAAATAAATACGGCACAAAATACATAACTTGAAGGTTGGAGAGCATGTTTAACGAACGCATTAGTTTTATGACCACCGCAAGATGGTGTGACTCATGTAATATCTAGTTCCTCAGATTTCAAACAAAAATAAATAATTTATCGGTGTTGTCAATAAAAATTACGAAAGATTAAGGACAGCTGCGGAGTATAAAACGTGTTTTGGTAATGAACAATGATTTCAAACGATACTGAGCCTTATATATTTTATCAAGAGTTTTGACAAAAATAATTATCAAAATGTAAATAAAGTTAAAACTTAGGTATTTATTGTTTATACATTGTAGTGATGAACAAAGTATTAGAAGTACCATCACAACGTTAGTTATTAAAATTAAGTTAACATATAAACATAATGTTATAAATTTATAATATAATAATATTATGATAGTCATAATTTTGTTATGGATTAGTCAAAATTAAAATTAAAATTCGAAAGTTTGATTTAACATTAATGAATAAAATTAGTATTGGTATGTGTATAGCTTGTACTTCGCCGTTCATCTACCATTCATTATTATTATTTCGCTAAAACCACTACCAAACTTTTACAAAAGTCGAAAACATTTTTCACGAATTCGACGATTTGGTGTACCACGAACACCAAGCCCGGATATTTCTAACACCTTTCCCGTCATTGGATATTCGTTGAATTTTTCTGGCGCTACGCCACGACTAATTGTCGTCACGTACAGCTTGTCCAACCGAGGACCGCCGAACGTGACCGACGAAACTTTTTCCGCGGGTATTTTCAGTTTGCCCAACAACTTTGCACTGGTGCCACTCACGTGCAATACCTGCCAATTCGTTAAAACGATTTGTAATAACAATGTTTTAAACATAATTGTACATCGAATAGATGTTGTAACTGGTAGATATAAGCTCAGTGATATATTATACCTGAGCGCCGTTGTAATTGGCAATCCAAAGATTGTCGTAAGCATCGATCGTCATTCCGTCAGGGACGCCAGGTATGTTATCCGTCTTGAAATCATAAAACGTTCTGCGGTTCGCTGTCGAATTAATAAGATTTTTCATGCATCAGTAAATTTTGTAAGAAAAGATAATAGTAATAGAATCAATACGTAAACGAAATTTTAATAGTTACAAATGGTCGCCGTAGCGGGATCGTAGTCAAAAAGTGCTATTTGCCTGGTCGAAGAATCAATATAGTACATTCGAGTGCCATCGTCATTCCACGCTAGCCCGTTGGAAACGGAAACGTTTGACAGAACGGGATCAAGATTTTGGAAACATCTAGTATCATTCAATTTGTATAAAGTCCCACGACCCGGTGGTATGTTACCGGCAGTGTCCTCAAATCCCATCGTACCTGTTACTCGTTCGACAAACAACGATTACGTATAATTAAGTAGCCGAGATAAAATTATGGTGGTAAGTGTCCCCATATTAATACCAAAAAAAAACCAGCAATTGTTGAATTATTGACTTTAAAAGTGTTTCATCTGTTGTATATTATATAAATATGATTATAAACATAGTTAGATTAATAACTCTTAAATCAATAACTCTTCGTATTCTCTGTACAGTGACGCCAAGATGGATTAGCAAATGATGCAACTGCATGTGTTTGAGTGGGAAATGGGTATATGGATAGGTGGGTATGTAGTTAGATAACTTGGATACTTTTCACTATGGACTATGGTAAGCAAATAACAATACGTATTAATAAATAAAAAATGGGTGGGTAGGTGGGTAACTTTTGTTAGCTGCACGTGCTCTCAAAATACCTCTGTGCGCCACTGCTTCGCTGTATGCTACCCAATACGTCAACAATCGTACTCGAAATCATAACTTTAATATATCAACCAAGCTTCCTATCACTAAAATAAATTTCATAAAAACTCATTCAACCACGAAACCTTCTCGTATCTAAATTCTTCTTTTGTACATTACCTGACAACCCTTTCCATAGTTTCAGACATAAATGGCCACAATTAAATAACAACTTGCTCACTTTAAGTTCATAAATTGGAAATATTGTCGATGGATGCTCCTATGCTCTCTTTCCTTACGTTTTCAAGTCTAGTACAAATCGTTAACTTATTTACTTATAATATTATTTTTTGTAAATTGTAAATGTTTAAAAATAAATAAATATAATAATAACTTGTGAAAAACATTATTATATTACTAATTTTTCAACTGTTTTTGACTGAGCAAAAAACATTTATAGAAAAAAATTCTAAAATTAAAAATTTTAAAATATTTTCAAGTAACTAATAAAAAAGTCAAACTGTTTTAAAAAAATTATCATTTATAAGCAATGCTAGAATGAAGATCACGTCCCACTACTTCATCGATATATATAAAGGTATAGGTTTATATATTTATATGTAGTGTAACAATAATGCAACATGAAACTAAACGAAAATAACTACTGATCGATAGGTACAATCACACATTCATGTATAATCAACTGTAAGGTCTTTTTTTCAATACACTCTATGTAAGAACATCAACACACCACCGACTACTGAACTCCGTAGGACTACAACACAGCTACCTATTATTATAAGATATTGAAGTTACCTGTGTGGGAGTATTAATGTTATAAGTTTTTTATAAGTAGGTAATATAATAATAATAACTGTCATTGAATTCATGGTTATTAAAATATATTATCAATCCTTTTATTTATATCTACCTCCGGCTACGGTAACGTCGGTAACTATATCCACAGAGTCCTATGTCTCTTCCTGAATATCTTATAGGTAGGTAGGTACTTAACTAGTCGTTCCCCGACTATGTTACAGTAGAATATGCGTATCTATCACATACATTTTAGATAGACTTTAAAACACTAGGGAATGAGTATTGACATAATTATTCTATTATACCCTCACCTGCCCACAAGTAACCATTTACATCCGCTTTCGCATCGTTCCATCGGTTTCCGGCTTTGTCGTGATCTACGGTAGCCAGCTCAACGACTTTGTGGATGTTCTCGTGGAGGTTCCATCGAAGACTGGCCAACGTGGTACCTAGTCCGATAACAAACAGACCTTGTTGTCCAGCAACTGGGATCACGAAACTTACTTCTTCGTCTAGGAAAAATTAAAAACGAATTTAGACGAATGGAGTAGAAACAATTGTTCATATAGTACAATACGCAGGTGTTACTCACCTAGCTGGACATGTTCCAAACGGGCTTGGAAAAATCTGTAAACGCGGTGTTGAGATATATCAACGAAATACAGGACGTTATTCTCAGAATCCCAAAATGGTCCTTCGCCATGCACCAAAACGTCGTTGGCCACTTCGTTAATGGTTGCGCCGTTGTAATTCACAGCACAACTCATGGCTACCCAACTAAAAAATATCAACCGGTTGATAGTTTTCAGGTACACATACAACACTACTTACTGTAAACTATAATTCTACATAAATGTTAATATTAACAACACTAAACGACTAGCAGTTATGTCAAATGTTGAACATCACAAATTATTGAAATTAATTTTTGAATTTTATAATAACATAATCGGTGATAGTCAACTCATTCGAATTTGTTATCTCAGTTAAACAAGTACGTAAATTCGTGACACTAACATAAGAGATATACGTTCAGCAGTGTTGTACACGTTTAGTTTTATTAGTTTTGATATTATAGATTTATAGATAAATTTTAAGATAATGATACTCAAATTTATTATTAAATAAAAAGTCAAGAACATAATCTCTTACTGTTTTTTTCGATATTTAATTTTTAAAGTGAATTTATAAATAAAAAATATTTGAGCATGCATGTTGTTTAAAGGACACGAATAATAATGTTGGTATTTATAAATTTGAGCTTAGGTAAATTTACTTTAATATTGAAAACTTAAAACTATACGTGAACTATTTGCTGAACGTAATTTTGCTTCCTATGTAAGGCGCTTATACAAATGAAACAACAAATACGAGTATGATATCCTCTTGACCTGTTGAATTAATACTACTTAATGTTTCGCCTACCTCAGGAAAACAATATTATACTTGAAAACGGACATCACGATCGTAATACTTACTGGTCAGCCAGCGTCTGTTGTAGAAATTTAAAAAAAATCAATATATATGGTTTTATACTGTTATGGTTGGTTAAACAATATATATATACAAACATCAAATCAGGTTTCCATTTCCCCAAAGTCAATGTCCAACATATAGTTACTCAGATAACAATATAATAGTACTGTGTCGTTTTGATATGTAATTGATTGTAATACGTCCATTAATTTTTGATCACTTACCTTGTAAATTATGTAGAATTAATTAAAACTGCAAAAGTAAAAATTAATTTAGACGGTCAAGAATACACTTTATACCTAAACTCATAAAATTATTGTATAAATTGATTTATACAGTTTTGCAACCATGAAGGATTCCAGGACTTTCACTTAATAAAAAACAATTATTCATTTATTTTTTAAACATTATTTTCTATTTATTGTTTATGAGTACTAGCATAATGATAAAAAATAATAATAACATTTTTAAGGACAAAACTGCTAAAGACAAATTTGTTTTTACACAAATAAAAAGAAAAAAAAATTACAAGAGTATAATAATTATAAAGCGTCAAATACTATACGTCAATAATGTAAAATGTGTTGCAATTATTTTAAAGCTATTGTATTGAATGAATGAACTGAAAGCAAAGCGTAATTTAAAAAAAATAAAATAATTAAATTATGTATATGGGCAGTAATTATAGTAAAGAAAATTGAGGTATAGTCTCTTAAAAAATTATATATATATATATAAAAAAAAAAAATTATAATACACAAGTCTAGTTGTTTTTGACTGAATACGAAAAGAAATCAAATAATGTTTAGTGAAAACTTATATTTCAAATTTTTAGTCCCCCTAAACAATATAATATGCCTCCAGAAATAGGGGGAGAAATTTTGGTAATGTTTTAAAAAATAAATTTTGTCAAATTAACAAGATAAAAAAATTAAGAAAAAATAACAAAAATTTTAAATAGTCGATAATTTTAAGGTTTTAACTAAAAAAAAAAAAAAACAATTTATTAACACAGCTCTTATAGCTTTCTGATAAAGATATATGAATCGAAAGACAAGAAAGAAGTAATAATAATAAAAAAAAATATATCTAAATAACAATGAAATTAGGTAACATGAGCGAGAATTTGAGATACTAATGGCAAATACTAAAATATTTTAGAACTACCATTTGCGATCAGTCACTGACATCAAGTGTACAGCGCTTTCGCTCTCGCCCCATCCAGTCGTTCGTACCGACGCCCTTACATCTGTAGCTGTTGCGGGTCCGATTGCGCTGACCCCCCTCTTTCTGGAGACTTTTATCAGACCTCTTTTCGCCTAAAAAAAAAAGCAATATATCTTAAATAAATTATTAAATAAACAAATAAAGCAGCAATTTCATAATTGAAACTGAATAAAGATTAAAATATAAATAAAATATACAACTTCACATACATTCAAATGTATCAATAATATAAAATTTTATATTATTTAAGCTATTCAAATTAGCTTAATTAATAAATTCCCCTCAATTATCACTACTCATTTTGAGGATATAGATAATAGTAATCAAGTTTTATTTTTAAAACTTACCTTGTCTATCTTGTAAATTTCCCATGGCTTGAAGCGCCGCTACTATTTCCAGTTGCGCCGACTCGGCCACCGCCGCTATTTCCCCATGAACGATTGTTTGGAGTAACTCCGTGCCATTGTCTATTTCCAGTAGACGCTGTTCCCCAAGGACTGGCAGCCCCACCATCCCAGCGGCCTGCAGGCCACATCCATGTATTAAATCCCCATGGCCAATCTAAAAAATAATGAAAAACAACTAACTTTTAACATAAACTAGACTAAATAATTCAAAATGTTAATACTTTTTTTTATACATTAAAACCAAATCTGCAAGCGAAATTCTTAGTATAACAATCTTATACATAAATAATAACATATAATAATACATATTTAGGGTTAAAATTAAAACTTATACTTTTAGCTACTTGAAATGCTAATATATAAACTTGAAACAATAAAATCTAGTTAAACATACAAAATGATTGTATCTACTAAACAACCTCAAACTTAATAATTTTAAGAGGGTGTTTTATATTTTACATAACATTATGTAACTTTTAACAGAGTATAACATAATAATACTATACAATTTATTTTTAGTCTATTCTAATAAATAATAAAAATTTATAAAATTTTAAAAATATATTACATAATACTTTGTGAACACCCTCTTAAATACAATTTGTACAATTCACATAATGTTACATCAAATTACCATCATCCTTTCTGTTGAATTGATACATTTACTGACAAAACACATACTGTCAGGCATCATGGAAAAAATTATTTTTTCATTATTTGAGCAAATATAGTCAGCACAATAGTTGTCGTACAAAATAGTTGGAAAAAAAATAAATGTTGTTGGAATCATTTTGTACTCTGGACGTCATGGAATGAAAATAACATGCAAAAGAAATGAATGGATACACCAGGAAAAAACACAATATGGGATGATTTTTTTTTTTCATTTTCTTCTACTTGTTGGTTTAAACCATCAAATGATGCTTCATTAATTTTTTTACAGCTGAAATATAAAAATAGGGAGACGAAAAACAATTTTTTTTTTATTCAAATATTTTTGATGTTCGTATATTTACTTTTAGAAAACTCAATAAGATAATGTGATAAAACTATACACTAATTAAATATAACTGTACTGATGTTATATAACTATAACCTTGAATACCTATAGAATTTTATAATCAGTAATTAATTAAGTTTAAATAATTAACAAAATCCTATTTTTTTTTTTGATAAAAAGTATACCTAAAATGACAGTATAATGTATGCAAAACAAAAAAATACACGGAATATTTGAATATTTTATTTTCTTAAGTGTTGGTACTATCATAAATTAGGTTACTAAACTGTTTAAAATTATGAGTTTAAAAATTATGAATTAAAACTTTTAATCTTATTATTATTTAATTAAATAGATTAATTTATTTAAAATGAAAAATATTAATCTGCATTATTTATTTTTAATTATTTTATAACTTTACAAAAAAAATATAAAATATTTTACACTTTTACCCACCATTAATAAGATATTATTCACATTGAAACTCAAGTATAAAATCAAAAAAAAAATTATACTAGTTCAATATTATTTTAAGTTGCAAAAGTTTAGCTTACCTTTAATATAACATTTTTTAAAAGAAACATTAATTTAATTTATCTCTCTCAATATTTACTTTTATAAACAGATATGCATTATTTTTTATTTATCCTTAATTTCTGTTGAATAAATATATGAAAAAAATAGAAACAACTGTAGTTTAAATAAGGTAAATTTAAAAAACAAACATTTAGTCATTTATATTTCTAAATAAAAATTATTAAAAGTTTAACTATAACATGCAAACATTAATATGCATGCATCATAATATTATGTTATTACCTCAGACCAATCCCAATACTGTTATCAATAAACAAATAAAATATTGAAAATGATAATTATGAAGAGTTAAAACTTTGAATTAAAATACTATAATATCAAAATAACACTTACCAAAATCACCTCGACCAGCCATTCTTAAATTATTTGAAACAGCGCGAAAGCCTGGTCTTGGAGCCCCCATCAATGATAATGGCTGTGGCATTAACCTAAGATTAATTGGTAGATTAATAATTAAAAATAAAAATTTGCAATTTACAAATAAAATATAAATATTTTAATTAGCTTAAAATATAATAGAATTAAATATTTAATACAAAAAAATCTTAAACGAACAATTCAATATAAATGATAAATTCAAAATATTGTTTATTCCAAATTTAATTCATTATTAGAAATAAAGTAACTACCCAAAAGCACGGCCTTGCATATTAGTAAACATACGACGTTCTCTAGCTCTTAAAATTTCTTCTTTCTTCTTTTTGTCTGATGGAGGTTTTGCTAGTGATACTTCCAAAGTAGCTCCATCCAAATTACTACCATTTAGTGCTTCCAAAGCCTACAAAATAAATTATATGATTATGTTTTAATTAAATATTAAGTTAATTTCAGATTATATAACAGAAATAGATACTGGCCATTAGTAGCGTTTTAGAATACACTAAATTTAATAATTTACTAGGTACTAAATAGTGAGAGTATTTTTGTTTTTAATACACCATACTTTAATATAATCTAATTATTTAGTTCAATAATCGCTTATTACCTCACTATTCAAATTAAATTGTACCTTACTTATTATTTAAATTTTAAATTTTTAAAAATAAGACTTATAACTATTAAAATCTTAGTCTTATTTTTAGGTATAAAATATCCCGTTTAATATAATATTATTAAAATCTATATATGATGAAGATATGTTTTCAAATGCTGTATCAAAAAAAAACCGAATTTTAATCTATTTTTCATTTTTCATTTGAAAACTAACAATGGTACAAATTTCTATCAACTTATTCATCTTTATATTCTGTTTACATGATTAATTTTTCTTTATATAACTTGATCCATTGTTATTTATACATCAATTTTATTAAATATTTATTATATTACATTAATTTATAAATTATAAGA